TGTATATTTTTGCCCAAAACAAGGGTTTTTCAGCCATAACACTTCAAAACCTAATCAACAACATTCTTTCCACTTATAACCCTTGGATATTCAATCAAAACCACTTTTTCTTTGTTTATAAACACGTCTCAAAACACCTCCAGGAGATTATATTTACGTAGTTACATATACAATTCAAAAATCTCCTAGGATGCATAATGAGAGAGAGGAGAGGGAGATCGCTAGCCGACTCGTCACTTATGACGTGAATTGAACAACAAAAGATGACTTTAACTTCCACTTTTTGCTTCTTAGTACCTAAAAAAATAATTGCATTTTTAATGAGATGCTACTCAATGAGAGAACAATAATCCATTGAAACCATAACATGCAATCACGTCATCCAAGTATCATCATATATAAACAATACGAGTAGTTCATATGACTCTAAGATTACATGCTTTTCTTTTTCTTATCGGTTATAACTTTGACATGTCAAGTTTCGCCCGGTACTTGTAACTTGTAAACTTGTACACATGTATTGTCGGCCGACTTTTATAACTTGTAGTTGACCCGTTGGGTCCTTGTAAACTTGTATTTGCGAAGCTTGGACAAGCCAATCATAACCTTAACCTCTTAATCTTGCGTATATCATGAATGTTTCACATATAGCATATACAACATCCATAGCTTACACCATGGTACATACCCATTATAACATCAATAAACAAAACGTTTGCGTCGACTAGCAAACGACACATCATTCACATCATAGCATCAATATCAATAAACATAATATTGTTATAACATCAATAAACACAACGTTTGCATCAACTAGCAAACGGCACATCATTCACATCATAGTATCAATATCAATAAATATAATATTAGCACTCAATAAGCAATAACACATCATGGCACAACTATTATTATTCAACTCACAAAAATGACGTCTTCACCGTTTATCAATGCATCGCGTCTCGCACCTCAAGCTCTTCGGCGTCTATAAACACATAAACATATACTTTTATAAGTCATTTTATCATGATCAAACTTCTAAATATGCTCAAGGTACAAAATATGACTTTAGGGTTAACTTATTCCTTTATGGGTACTTGACCCCTTTTCACTTTCTCTACCATAAATCCAAACATACAGATCCAAATGATGCGATTCTAGTTTCACATGAAACTAGACTCATAGGGCTCTAACATATCCAAAACTCAAGTCTAGGTACGAAATACACAACTCATGATGATTTTCTAAAAAACAGAGTTGCTGCCATTTGTTTATGGGTACTTGACCTCTTGACGAGTTCACAATCTTTGTACTATAAATCCTAAAATACAGGGTAAAATGACAAAATTCCAGTTTTACATGAACATATATTCAAAGGGGTCTAACATATCCAAAAATAAGCCCAATATTCCATATAAATTATTTATTCTAGATTTTCAAACTCTAACTAGTTTCCAGCACCCTTGTTACCGAGCAGTCTCCAAACAAATAACCATAAATCTAGATTGGGACATGATAAAGACCTAATTATTTTTTTAAGAAGAACTATACATATCAATATAAAACATATCCAAAAATCAGATCAAAATACTCAACACCCAAAGAATATCATATTTTTAAAGTTTGCACACTAATCTGCCCGCATCAGATCACCTAGAACAACATGTGTTCAAACCATCATAACCCAAAATATAAATCACTAAATACAAAACCCTTTCACAGAGACCTAGATAAGACACAAACCAACAATTTTTATTCTTACAACTTGTTCCATATTTGACCTTAAAGTCTCGAAATCAAGAGTGCAAAACAGAGCTGGAGATGAACTTACCTAGATTTCCAGCTTGATCATCCGAATTTGACAAAGAAATGAGTTTTTCCTCTCTTTCTCTCTCTCAAAACGGGAAACAAGATGGGATAAGAAGAGATAATGATCAGGTAAGTAATCTTGATAAGGTTGTGAAGATATGTTTGGCAAAGTTCATTTTGGTCCCTCAAATTTTGGCTTGTTTTTATTATAGTCCCCCAACTTAGATTACATTCAATTAAGCCCCTAATTCTTCCTATTATTTCAAATAATTATTATCCAATACCCCACTAACATGTCATATGCAGGTATAATTATATGCGTGTAATTTCTAAGTATGCGTGTATGCATGAACAATGTATGTTTTTGGGACGAGGTTATTACAAATGGAGTACTTCCAGACACTAGCGTGTTTGCTATTTGACCCCTTTTGAAACATATTGCTAAGTTGATTTCTAGAACTCATATGTTCATCATATTCAACACTATGACTTTGAGCTTTTTATGGATTTCCTTGAACAATCACGGTATTCCTCCTCTTTAATTTGTAATTAGGTGGATAACCATGAAGTTTGAAACATTTTGCCTTCACAAGTCCCGACGTTTGACAATGTTCACACCATAGATTTTTCCTTATATTGGAATTCCACACTCATTTCCTTAATTTTGACTCACATTATTCCTAGTCATAAGAGTTGGAGTTATATTCTCTATTGGCATAAACTCGTGAAACTTGCATTTGCTTTTCCTCCTGTTGAACCATGGAATAAACATCCTCTAAACATGACAAAGGCTTTATTGGTAAAATTTGACCTCTAACAAGCTTGAAACCATCATTCAATCCCATTGAAAATTGCATTAGCTTCGTTCATCCTTCGTTCTTCCTATGCCTTTACTACTTCACAATGAGCATTTTCCCCGCATATTGGAATATGAGTCATGACTTCTAATTCATCCCACAACTCGCTTGAGTTTTGTGTAATATGTTTCAATATTCATATTTTCTTGATTACAAAAAGAAATTGTCTTTTGCAAACCATAAACCAATGGAACTAGCATTATTCAAAAACCATTTTCACAAATTTTCCCATATAATTGTTATAGTGCTACCATGAAGTATAGATTTTCCAATTTCTTTAGAAACCACACTAAGAATCATTGATCGTTTAGCTCTTATACCATGTGAGAAATCCACAACCAAACATTGGAGTAGAGAAGGAAGAAGAAGGAAAGAAAATAGGGCAAGAAATTCTCCGTATTGAGAGTTCGAAAATCCCCAATTTGCAAATATGTTTTTGCTTGCTATGTTACCGTTACAAGTGAGCTACGAAGGAGAGCTTTTATACTTGGATTAGTTACGTAACTAACTCTCCCTAACGACTAACTAATTCCTTTAACAATACTAACAACTTAATTTAACTAACTTGACTAACTAATCTTCATTATCCAGATATTCACTAATGTGCCATTCTATATAGATTTCAACATAGTTTTACACTTAATTATTTAGTTTTTTACCGGTATTGACCACACTAAATTTAATATCATTTTATTTTATAAAATTTCTTATTTTGTAATCAATTTTCTCGTACAATTTATTTATTTATTTATTCAAATAAAAAATTAAAATAAATAAAAAAAGAGAAAATGATTAAGTTACAAATAGATTTAAAAACACAAAAAAATAATTGGTTTTTGAAATAAGAAGAAAAAATTAATTCTTTTTTCAAAATAAATATATTAATTTATAATTTACTCATTAAAGCAGGTGTTAAAAAAAAAAAAAAAAACTAAGTAAAATTCTTAATTTGCCTTTGTTCTCAACTTTGTGTTTTTCTTTTAGTCTGATCAATTAAACGATTAAAAACTTATATTTAAGCTCTTAGATTTGGATGAAATAAAGTTAATAAAAGGGCTTAATCTTAAATAAAAATTATCGGGGAGGATCAAATGTAGAGTTAGACGTTGAAGAATTAATTCTTAAATAACTAAATGCTCAAAAGAAATAACACTCATTTAATATTTTTTAAACAAAGTAAACTATAATTTTTAAATATCTTACTCAAACATGAATCAAATTCAATTGGATTTTAGCATAATAGACTCATGTGTTTTAAAATGTAGATTTTTTTTTAGTTTAATAATAAATTTTACATATATTTTATTGCGATTTTACAATTTCGGATCCATAATATCAAATCGTGTAATTTGAACACTAAATTATTGAAGATTGGGCAAATATGATTCAAATTAAGTAATTTTTGTTATGTGTAATAGTCAACTGGATTTATCATTACTTGGAATGCTAAAACGATATTGTTTTGTCGTTCCATTGTTAATTATGTTTTTTTTAATATTTTAAAAATATTTTTAACACTTAATCTTGAACTTTTTTAAGGCTTATAAATATTATAAATATTTTATAAATTATATAAAAAACAATTTATAAATATTTTTAACATTTTGAACTTTTTTATAAAATATTCTAAACATTTTATAAAAAATATTGCTTTATAATTTATAAAATTAGGAGGATCAATCCTTAATTATACTCATTTTAATTTATAAAATGTTTTTTAAGACCTGAAATTATGTATTTTTAACTATGTATTTTTACAATAACATTTAAAAAAAATAAAAAAACAAAATTATGGGGTTAAAAATATTTATACTATTTTATAAGAAAAAAGTTTTTTTTAAAAAATTTCAATATTAGGGAAATTAAAAATATTTTTAATTTTTTTTAAATATAATCAACAACGAAATGTCAAAATGGCATTTTGACATTTTAAGTAAGGATCAACTAAATTACCCATTACACGTAATCATAATCGAGCAGTTTTGAATCATATTTGTTTAATTTTTTAATACTTTAAGATTTAAATTTCGTAATTTAGCATCATGAGTTTAAAATTATCAAATCACAATAGAATAAAGGTAAAATTTGATATTAAACTGATTTTTTTTAATATTTACTAGAAACAGTAAATAATTGAAAATAAAAAAATGAACAAACAAAATAGCAAGGATGGATGCCGTATATATAGTTTCAAATTTTCAATTATGATGACCTATTTATAATAATATAATAATATAATAAAGTACTCATGCATGCCACTAGAATTTACAAACGTTTTTCTGCAAAAATAATTGTCATGTTAATTTAAGAAACCGTGCATCGCCAATAAATTACCCATCAATTCGTGAAGGCTAGTTTTGAAAATGACAAACATAAAACCGGGCAGAAAATATATGATGCTCGAGTAGCTTTGATATTTGATGCGACATCACGTCCAGACGTCTCTCTCTCACTGCAAGTGTCAAGCACTAAAACTGGTCCCACATTCCCTGAATTTCCAGTCAATTCCTTTTTAGCGTTGCTGTTGAGATTATACCATGTAGTGCTCCCTGAAAGAATTATACATTAAATAGCAACACGATGTTGTATTCCGTCCGATGAATAAGATAGCAGAAAAATAGAGCAATGATTTGCCCTTTTGATTTGCTTTCCCGTCAATTTTTTCCTCACTCTTACGTTCAAATCAGTCATTCAAATTACCGAAAAAAATAAAAAAAATAAAAAAATTGAACCTTAATCTTACAAAGATACAGGGGAACAAATATCCACGGATAGGACTTAACTTGAATATTTTAAAACTGCAAAGTATTTAATCGAACTTTTTTGGAAAATATTCCACCTCTATGCATTAATGTTTGGTAGAGGAGATATGATTGAAAAGTAAATTAGAAGGCTTGCTTTATTGAATAACTAAAAAACAATAATAATCTCACGTCTAACCTTGCTAACTCTACTAAATTCAATACAAGAAAATTTATGATATTTTATTTTTATTCTCCTATTCTCCTAAATTCAATACACGAAAAAGTACTAAATAAAAAGATTCAAATCAAACCATAATCAGATCCCATCATTCTCTATTTGTAATCGTCCTAATTGTAATTATTCAATTAGAATTCTTTTTCTATACACATAAACTCTCAAATAATTCAATTAGCATTTCTCTTTTTATACACATAAGCTCTCAAATGATAAATCATCCAAAGTGTAATTATTCAATTAGCATTTCTCTTTCTATGCATATAAACTCTCAAAGTAAGTTGACTCTTGAATCCTCACAGCAATACCAGGCTACAAGGTATTCTAGTTCATAACAGTGTTTTTCGTCATTGGCTAATCAGGACCACTCGACTCATGATGGCTGGACGGTGAAGATCTCGGTCTTGAGGTTGCTGAAGTTTTTCAAAGAAATTCAAGTCCGCTCTATATCTCTACTTATGGGTTTGGTTAACTTTGGTTTTAATCAACCAAATTGGGAACACATAGAATAAGACCGTCATTTGTTGACAAATATACTGGACAAAAGGCGATTCCGTAGAGTTTTTTTTTATTTTTATAAAGGAATTACATAAAAATAAGTTGGGCAAATTTGGGTGGAACCCAATTTAGAAAATTAGAGAAGTGACAAGAGAAAGGGTCAGACGAGGGGGGGGGGGTGGGGTGGGGAGAGATGGATTTGAAGGTACCACACGAAGCTAAGCTTTTGGGGTACATACCAATTGCCCAAATGACGGTCCTTCCTTCTCTCTCTCTCTCTCTCTCTCTCTCTCTCCAGTAAATTAACTATAGAGGGAACCATTGAAATTTGTTTTAGTTACATTAAATTCTTTTCTACTTTCTAAAATTTGATTGGTCACTCAATCTGAGTAGCCAGCATAATTTTAAAAAACAAGTGTAGTAGTAGTAATTAATTAGTTTGATTACAGCAAATTTTAAGAACTTAGGATTCGTTGCTGACACAATTGTGGGCATCTTTCATTAATCCATGCATGTATTATTCAAATTCGTTAAACCATAAAAAAATAAAAATAAAAATGAGTTAACCAAAACTAGACCCACCTGCTCACAAACCACCACTGCAAAACAAACTTTCAATGTGGTTTACCCCACTATTTATGAATCACTTCCTTATCAAGCAAAACATTCAATGTCCCACAATTTCAAGTACGAATATTCCCATAATTGTGTACAAGGACTAAGTAAGATTAACATTATAATTGCTAAGCTTATTCCACCTTAACTCTAAGAACACAAGCCACCATCATACAGATTACCAAACGATACTGATGCAAGAAAATCATATATTTAAATTTTAATAGATTAATTTTATTAAAAAATTTGAACGTGTGTTGTTGTGATTTATAAAATAAATGAAAAAAAACCAAACCCACTTTAAATTATAAAACCTTTTTTTTTTTTTTTTTATAGCAATATAGACTTGAATAAACCAAATGAAAAGGGTAACAACTTCACCTTTTATATATATATATATATATAGTGAAAATTTAATTTTATTTACTTCTCATCACAACATGTCATATCGTGGCACAAGGGAAAACCTGTAGCCAACCATATCCTATCTTAATAAAGAATGAATTAATTGGCAAATTAATTCACTAAAAAGTATGCTTCTGAACAACCCAATGATTGTCGCAACAAGACGAATTAAGTCAAAAGTTTTAAGGATAACTAAGATCAACCAAACCCCTTAATTTCTAAGTAAATTTTGTCATGGAAAATTGCCCTACAAAAACCAACTTATTTAGGCTTTTTAACCAATCAATTTAGTGCACATTAATAGTACTCTCTTTTGGTGAAGATCTACATCAATGCTCCTTTTTTCCATTATACTCTAGTATTTAACAGTTTTTTTTCCCCTCAAAAGAAAGATAAAGAAACTTGACCAAGAAATAAAAACTTGAGATGCATGTTGCCAGAAAAAAAAATCAGCTAATTAATATTTGATATAGAGATCCAAACAAGACGAGGCACTGTAATATATATATATATATATATGAACTCTTCTTTCAAAAGACAACTACTTTCACCAGAAAACAAAAGCTACAATATTCTTCTCTATTGAAAAAGAAAAAAATTATAATCCCAAAACTTCCCTTGTTTATGCTAATAGATATAGAGTATATACATACATTACATGACCTCCATAACATAGGTTTTTGAGTAACAAAAATTATTAGGATCACTAGCTCCTAATTTATACATTAGGGTTCACCATAATCATGCCAGCAAACTAACATGGAAACACATCGCCGGAGAATGTAGAACCTTGCCCTTTGCTCCTTCACTAAGCCACTGCATCTCCGGCCAAAAGATCTGCAGGGGTCTCGAAAATGCTTGCTACAGAAGCTTGTGTTCTCCTCCGTCATGTTGATTAATCTTCTTGCTGCCTAGCAATACTATGCTTCTTGTTCTTGTAGTGGTGATTGTGGCACTTGAAAATATTATAGTAACACTAAAAAGTGCTTAAAGAAGCAGAATACTTTGAGATAAAGAGTGAGAGACAGAAAGAGGGAGAGATTCTTGTAATTAATCTGCTCGTAAGGGGTTTGGCCTTTATATAAGTTTGATTTTGATCAAGGGATTTGTATAATGGAGTTCCTTTTCAAGTTTAAAAGACAATATTACCCATCTCAATCATCGCTTGCGGATGGAATAATTCAGGGTGCTTATGGTAATTTCCGTGCAATTGATGGCCTGGCATCAACTAAACTAGGGTCTAATTTTTGGGTTATTTTAGTGGTAGTACTATTCAGTATTTTCATTTTTTAGTGTCCTTTTCATTTTTAAAACGATTTTGTGATGGCAGTTTAGATAGTAACGAGGTTAGCATTAATTATTATATTATCGGTGATTATTATGCCTGTTTTTCTTCCCAATAATTAAAGGTCTATTTTTAAGATTTTGCTAAGGTTTTTTTCTTAGATTTTTTGTGGTTGGGTACAATTTTTGACTGGAGGCCACTAGATGGGTCACTGCCCAATGAACTAGAGCATGTGCACGAGCGAGAGCACGTGTCCAAAGCAGGTTGGTTTAAATTTCCAAGGAGCATTAAATTAAAAACAAAAACATTAAAAAATATATTATAGCCGAGAAGGGTTTGATGGAAAAGAACCTAAATAAAAAAATATATATAGTAGTAACAAACTTAATCTTAATGTTCTGATTTTATGCTCACATGTTCCCAGAATGTGTTTGACTAATGAGCAGTTGACCACCAACCTTAAACTTGTTTTTAATTCTAAATCGATAGTTATTCTAGAAGGGGAGAACTCAAATAATTAGGATTCTTGTTAAAGGGATCATTGTGCTAGACCCATTGTTTAATGAGTGTATATTTAACATAAAAATCAAAATGATCATAAGGATCTTTTGAGGTCTAATCAAATACTGGTAAAAGGCCGTTTGAAGGGAAAAAACGAAAAACAAAAGCTTTAGCCAATTTTGGAAGCCCACTTGTAAGCCAGGCTTCTTTTAAGTCCATAAATACATAGGCCTATCAAAGATGCAGGGGAGTGAGCAAAGCCTCTAGAGAGCTATAGCTTTGCCCCACATCAAACCCATAACATTAATTGGGCTCCTTCAGGTCTTCACACCAAGCAATTGAAACGCCCATAAAAGATGCAAGGCGGATGGATTCAAGCAAGCCTTGAAAAAGCTTAGGTTTTGTCCCACATCGGAGGCATACAATTCATGGTTAGGAACAGGAAACTCTCTTCGTTCTATCAAAGGAGAGATGGCCGGCATCTCCCCTGACAGGGACGAGAACAGTTTTTGAAGTGGGCTATTCCTTTGCTACTACACTATTTTTCCCGTCTCGAACGTGATTCGTAGATTACCTGTTAACAACACAATCGGTTCAGGCTACCCACTTTGGTGGAGGGTTTCATTCCATGTAATGAAGACAACACGGATATAGCTAGAGTTAGTGCATTTTACAGCATAATGTAGATAATTATGTGGACAAAGAGGATTTTGAACATGCTTACATGGAAGAGACATGAAAAAAAAAAAAAAAAAAAACTGTGTTACAAGTGTTTCATCATAGTAATGATGAATATATGAAGCTCATATTTATCTATGGCATGGTAGACTTACATCACACCACTCCTATAACCATATACAATCCATATCAATCCTATGCAATAACATACATTGTAATTCAACTTTTTCATGGTGCATCAACTTGTTTGCTTGTGGCACACAAGCTTGAACCAAGAGTGTGATAATTTATATATCGGCTGGGAGCAGAAGTAGGGTGGAATCCTTTTGGCAAGCAATTCTCCACATCTGTACCATGGAACTCTTGCTGCCCATGATTTGTTTTCGGCTTCAAGGTCTTGTAGTTTGTAGATTTCGATTCCAATGGCCGCGTAGCTGCCACAACTCTAGCCATGGAATTCGTACCATTCAACATTGCTGATGGAGATAGAAGGAGGACAAGGTAGAAAAAAGCCATGAAGAAAAGAGTAGTGCTAGACATTTTGGGCTAGCTCTATGGTGCTTCGAGTTTAGGGCCGGGTGAGGGGTCTATATAGGGTTTATTTGTGAAGAGGAACGGTGAGGATGCTTTAAAGAAACTAGCTCGTGAAGGAAGTGAAGATGTAGATATGACCAACTCATAGCTAGCTAGCAAAGCAAATAATGCTGGTCCTAATGGTACTGCTACGTGATCGGGGTAGTAAGTTGGGTAATTGAAACACTTTTTGACTGTGCAAGGGAGGATGCCCGTGCTCTTCATTACTCTATCTTCCTAAATCCTAGTTTTTTTTTTTTTTTTTCAAAATCAAATTCTTTTGCATTTCTACGCAAACATTATCAACTATATCAAGATTATACAACCCTATACCAAATCAAAGATATGTATCCATTCATAGATTCAAATTGAATTTTGCAAATTTGTAATTATATTTTACTTACGTTGCACTAATCAAAACAAACCACCATTTTAGTCGAAAATGGTAAGCAGATTTTGATTCTGATAATCATTTTGGTTTCAAAATTAATAAAAAAAAATTGCAAGAAGGAAATTTTCTTGGGAATTTAGTACTCTAAGTATAAATTATCTTTTTAAAATAAAAAATGAAAAAGAAAATAATATTCAAAAGTTAATCGAAAAGAATTTAATTGCCAACATATAAAAAAGAAAAAAAAATCACCAAACTTCCATTTAAAATTTTATTACTTTCCTCGCCTGCTAATTTTCTGAACTGCATTATTAGAACCATAGTCAACATTCTGGAATTAGATTCCTCATGCGTGGTTTATACTCGAGCTAGTGTTGATGAGGTTGAGATTTTTCGATTTTTTTTTTTGGTGGTTGAATGTGCTTTCTCCGAGACTGATCATGGAGTGAAGATTTGTCCTTTTACTTGAAGTTTTATGTCACGCTTTTTTATTTTTAATGATATTTTGATGATTAAATTAAAATACGAAAAGAGGTATGTAATCTGATTAGATTTAATTATATATCTTTTCATACGCTTATTTTGATTAGACTAAGCAACATGTTTTTAATATATTTAGGGAATATATTTTGTATGTATGAAGAATATAGAACCTCTTAATCACTTAACATGTGTGAAATTAACCTTTTATATAGTGAAGGTGGATGATGAACTTGCACGAAATAAAATGTATATTTGTTTTTTTTATCGAGGACAAAGTGATTTTTTTCTTCATGACACAAATGACTTCTGATAAGTGTATTTATAAATTGAAGATACTTCTGAGTATATGCTTTATTGATATTGGTGAAATTATCATTGTTTTTAAATGTTAATGCATGTAGCAATGTCTTTTATTTTATATCTAACTTTCACAGGGGCAGACTCACGTTGAAATCTACAGGGCCCCCCTTCCATTTTTGCTTTCTTCGTAGCTATTTGAAAATATTACGTTAACACAAGGATGATATTGGGTTAGGTTAAGTTTTCGGCCTCCCCAGCACTGCACTCCTATTTTGAACTAGCCTTATTATCCTATAATCTAGTTGATTTTGGTTTGTTTTTTTTTAAGATATAAGAATTTAATAATTACAATTTAAGATTACTATAGTAAATTATAAAATAGTCCATCTATTTTTAAAAAATTATTTAGTTTTTTGAACTCTGATCATATTCAATTTACATTATTTTATTTCAAAAAATGTTATGTTTTTCATTATATATATATAATTCCTTAAATATTAAAAAAAATATTAAATTACAATTTTATTTTTTCACTTTCTACGGCTATCATGCAACGGTCATCTTCAACTACAAGCATAATCAAAACTAAGGTTCGTAATAAGATGGAAGATGACTTTCTTTCGAATTATTTGTTAGTGTATATTAAAAAAGAAATTGTTGAAAATTTTAATATAAATTCGCTCATAGATAATTTTCGTGAATTGAAAGAACGAAGATCTTTATTTTGAGTAATTGTATTTTGAGACTATTTTAAAATATTTATTGATATGTTATTTTTAATATATATAAATTTGTGTAAATCTTGACAAATTTATAAACATTTATTTTGACCCTCGTAAATATTTAGTCCCGCATCCGCCACAAGACTTTCATGCTTCTCTTTGGTAGAGGAATGAATTACTCTCATAGACTAAGGGCAAGTTTGGCATCCATGTATTCTTAGTTGTAAGGATTCTTTTGATAAGGAGTTTTGTATTGACATTTTTTTTTAATAGATGGATGTCTTCTTTATAATTTGACAAGAAACATATATCGAGTTGTATTTTTTCGAATATATCAAGTATTTTATACTAATATCTTGCTTTGGAATATCTAATTAAAAATATAACGGGATAAATAGAAAAAAAATCATTGAATTATTTAGGGAATTTGTATTATGAAGAGTTTAACATTTTTAATTTTCTTTTTACCCTTCCATCTCAAAATTCAGACAAAAAGAGGTATTGCAACGAGAGAACTAATAAAGATTATTTTGAAACATACCACCTACTAAAGCACTATGCTATTCGGATTGTGAATTTGTGATGCTGTACCAAATCCTGCAGTAGCCGGCAACTAACCGCACAGATTTAAGGTAAAGAGAGTGATGCTAATCAATGAAGTAATTAGAGTCAACCCTAGGGATCTTCTACTAACACATGGAAGCATTCCATTGGGCCACCTGGGAGTAGTAGTTAACCTACTTGGTCAACTAGTTAGGTGTGACTCTTTACACGTCATCTCTTGACCTGCCCAGCTTGATCAGTTGCCAGGTACAACGTTTTCAACAAGCAAATCTAACATTAAAAACACTTTAAGGTTTACAGATCTCAACGACCTCTAAATCTATCTAGCAAGATTAATAAACTACACATGTCAATGTGTTAGAAATCCACACTAGTTTTGTTTTGGATCATCAAATGACATCGGCTGAAATTGATTTGTGGAAGTTATATAATTAATTAGTCTTCGAGGCAGCAGTTCGGATTGATTTTGACAGTTAATTAGGCTTGTTTTTCTCTTTTAACTTCTTAAATTTGCATCTTTAATTTAGTATTTAAGAGAATTTATTCACGTGAGCTCATCAAATCAATTGACATATAAGCGAATTTGAAAATATCTTTTGCATTTGAAACAAAAAAAAAACGAATTTCTACGATAAAAAATTAACAAATGATTGTGCATGCTTATTGTTTGAGAAATTTTATAACACTCAACAAATAATTAGTGACATGTATAATAGTTATTTCATGAGCTAATTTTGAAGAGAGAGATAGACATATAAAAAAAATTTAAAAATTCAGCTAACGTGAAAATCTTCTTATCATTTTTGATAGGTTTGGATATAATTTTTTCTTTTTTTATGTGTCTATCTCTCTTATCAAAGTGAATACATAGAATAACTATCGTATCTCGTTATCAATTATTCATTGAGTATTATAAAATTTATGTTAAGTCGCTCAATCAATTACATTGCAATTCTTAGGAAAGTAACCTTGAATTCCACTCGCAATTCTTCTTCTTCTTCTTCTTCTTTTTTTTTTTTTTGGCTTGGATGATATAATTTATTCTTAAACTATTAGATTTGTAGTAAAATAAGTACTATATTATCAATTTTAGCTATTCGTTCCTCTAAAATTATTTTTTGGACAAGTTTTTATTTTTTTCATTATGTCTAACAATTAACTCGACATGCTTAAATGATGTTATTTCAAGCTTTTTAATTTTTTTAAAGGTTAAAATTTATTTTGAAAAAAATATTTATAATTCATTTTTTTGTTGAATAAATCAATTATACATCATTAATTATCCAATAATAAAGTCAAATCTATATAAAAAAATAATTTAAGCTTCTTTAAAATTAATTATTATTAAATATTTTTTTCAAAGTTTATTTTAATTTTCAAAAAAAAATTAATGATTGAGTTTTTTCATATTGGATGGATCTACTACGCACATCATTAATTAACAACAACCAAAGTTAGATTGTAAACAACAAAATCATCCAAATTTTCTTAGAGCTAATTACTATTAAAAATATAATTTTCAAAATTAATTTAATTTTTAAAAAAACTGAAATGTTTAATTGAATGTCATTTTAAGTATTTCAGTTAACGATCAATACTTTGTCAATTAGGTATAACAAGGTATAACAAGAAAGAATAAGATTTGTCTAACAAATAATAATTTTTAATCTAAATAATCTAAATTGATAGTATAAATTTTATTTTACAATAATTTAAGAGTAAATTATACCATTAATTTTTATTTTTTTTAAGGAAAATCATGTATCTTGCGATTCGCTAGGCACGATTACCCGAATAGCCCAGTTTAGCTAATGTCTTCGGCTCAAAGACCAGTTAGACTGCTTTTGATAGCCCATGAAAATCTAACGAGATGATTACAGCCCAATTAAGAAAATGGACTTATTTTTTTAAATATTTTCAATACCGAGCCCAAATGAGGCCCACCAAGAACAAACGTAAAAGCCTTAAGTGACGTCATATAAAAGAGGGGTCTGGTACAACCCAAGAAGAAATTAAGGAAAACGGAGGAGGAAGAAGACGAAGAGCAAGAAAATTGAAGGGCTTTTCATTTTCCAGTTTTCTCGAGATAATAATAGAACATAAATGGGTCTCTGAAGCCGTTAATCTTGCTATATACCTAACATTATTTTAGTATCCTGTGATTATATTTTCTTTCAAATCGGATTAACATTTTTTTTCATCAATTTGGCCTGTTTTATGTGGAAAAACTTTCCTCCATTTTCTGCCTAAATCAGACACATAAGGTTAAATAAGGGAGGAAAAAAGGAAAAAACAACGTTTACCCATTTTAAATATTATGATCATATTTCCATATTCTTAGTTCGCTCGTTAGTCTTTACAGCAGTAAGGCAGTTTTCACAAGATATAACTGAATCGTCCTGGATGCGCTATGCCTCACATGTCTTAGTATTAGGCTTCCAACTTTTCCTTGGCTAGCAACCAAGACACAAAAGTTCTCTCTCTCCAAGGTGCCAGGGTGGAACAAC